TCATTAGTTAGCAGGGCATGTTTTGAGACTTGGGAGCAGCTCAGGGTGAGGGCTTAAAATCTTCTTAGGTCATTTCTGGTTATGTATCCTGCCTGGGCCTGTGTGTGTGAGTGTGTGTTTTCAGATTTCCCCTGTATACACCGCTGCTTTTAAATGTCTTAATTTCCCAAAGAGTCTCACACCTCAGCTTCTTCTCAGGGCCTTAGATATTATATGGTTTTTATATTATATATATTATATATACATGTATATTATAAATATCATATTCCTCCACCTGTAATCTCACGTCCCACGTGTCTGCAGGTGTGTGGTCCCACTCCAGCTTTCAAGCACCATGGAGCCTACCACTGCTTTCCACAGCTTCTGCCAGTCTGAGATCCAAGCTATGCCACCATTCCTCATCTGAGCTTTGAGTCAAGTGAAACAGAAACCAGTCCCTTTGGTGGCCCACAGACAGGTTAGAAAGTCACAAAGGACTTCTGTATTGATCCTTCCAGCCTGAGGGAGGGAACTGGGAATTGGTTGCTTCCTCATAGTCATGTGAGATCAGGGAGGGGGTGAGGCAAGGATGAGTAAAAATGTCACAAAATTTCCTACAGTTTTGAATGTAGTTTCTTCTTGATTGGGAACTTCCCTAGTTACTGTAGATCTTTGACTAGTCCAAAGAGCTCCTATAATATTATTTTAATCAGTCTCTAGTTGTTTTTCTAATCCTTTCATGGGAGAACAAGTACCTACAGCTTCCTAGTCTGCCATCCTGCTGTCATCACTCTTTGATTTCCTCTTTAATACAGAGTTGTTTAAAAATGCCCATATGGCTAGATTTCTATTAGCTACATGTTTATTGTTATTTTTAGTTTTTTTCTTTTGTATTCATCATGGAATCTAGTCTTTGTGATTTCTATTAAAATATATAGTCATTTAAAAAATGCTTTACAAATGTTTGAAAGATTGGGTATTCTCAGTTGTTATAAGGTTATGAATATTTATTAACTTAAGCTGGATAACTATTACTCAAATAATTTCTGTACTTTTTTCGTCAAGTTGGTCTATTAATTTTTGAGAGAGGGATATTAAGTTTCCCATCATGATTATGAATTTGTCCATTTCTCATCACATTATAAGAGTTTTGGCTTTATTATGTAGTGACTATTACAGCTTCCTCATGGATTGCACCCCATTTTGTTTTCCTTAATGCATTTTGCCTTGAGTTCTATTAATATTTTGCTTGAAATTAATATTGCCACTCTTTCTCATTTTTTTGTTACCATCTCCCTGATTAGATATTGTTCTATATTTTTATTTTTAACCTTCTATGTCTTTTTTAATTTTATATTTATACATCATAATAAGCATAAATCTGAATCTAATTTTTCCTTTTTGCCTTCTCTGTTTTTTAAAAAAGGGATTCAAGTTTACCCATTCAAATTTATGTCTGGTCTTATTTCTGACAGTTTATGTTATGTTTTGTATTTGCCATGTTTTCAGAATTTCCTTCACCTTCCCCACACACTCATATTTCCTATCATTTACTGAAATAATTACATTTTCTCAGTGTTCCTTTAAAATTTCTTTTGAAGTTCTGTTTGGACATTTTGCAACTAATTTCCAGTGTTTCTCAAAGTAGATTCAAGGATCAATTGTATCACAGTCACCTTGGGTGGTTTTCTAAAAAATTGTGGTAAAATGTGCATAACATAAGATTTACCATTTTAACTATTTTCAAATGTACAGTTTAGTGGCATAAAGAAAATTCACATTGTTTTACAACTATCACCATCATCCATCTCTTTGACTTTGTCATCATCCCAAACTAAAATCTTGCACCCATTACACAATAACTCCCCACTCACTCCCTCCTCCAGGCCCTGGTAACCCTTCTACTCTCTGTCTCTATGAATTTGACTATTCCAGATACCTCATGTAAGTGGTATCATATAATCTGGCTTATTTCAATTAGCATAATGTCTTAAAGATTCATCCATATTGTAGTATGTTATCAGAATTACATTATTTTTGTTTGTTTCTATATGAGATGATGGATATTAACTAAACTATTGCAATAATCATTTCCCAATATATGTAAGTCATTATGCTGTGCACCTTAAACTTATACAGTGCTGTATGTCAATTACATCTCAATAAAACCGAAAGAAAAAAAAGAATTCCATTCCTTTTTAAGGCTGAAAAATATTCCATTATATGTATATAACACATTTAGTTTATCCATTCATCCATCAATGGACATTTGCGATGTTTCCACCTTTTGGCTATTGTGAATAATGCTGCTACGAACATGGGTATACAAACATCTGTTTGAGCTCCTGCTTTCAATTCTTTGGGTATATACCCAGAAGTGGAATTGCTGGATGATATGGTAACATTATGTTTAATTTTTTGATGACCACCATATTGTTTTCCACAGAAGCTGCACCATTTTACATTCCCACCAGCAATGCACAAGAGTTCCAATGTCTCCGTATCCTCACCAAGACTCATTCTCCATTTGTTGATAATAGTCTTCCTAATGGGTGTGAAGTGATATCTCATTGTAGTTTTATTTGCATTTCCCTAATGTTTAGTGAAGTTGAGCATCTTTTCATGTGCTTATGGGTCATTTGTATGTCCTTTTTGGAGAAATGTCTACTCAAGTCCTTTTCCCATTTTTGAATTGGGTTGTTACTTCTTGTTGTTGAGTTTTAGGAATTCTTTATATATTCTAGATATTAACTCTTTATCACATATGTGATTTGCAAATATTTTCTCCTATTCCGTGGGTTGCCTATTGTCCTTTGATGTACAACCTGAGGTGTTTTTTAAAATGTAGACTGTAGAGCCTCACTCTAGACCTACAGAAGTAGAATGCCTAGAGGGTAAAGCCTGAGCATCTATGTTTTTAAAAAGAGTAACAAGTGATTATTATGCCTGACTCTTAGTTGTTGCCCTTAAACTTTCTGCTAGCATTTAAAAACATTTTTTGGAATAAATTTGAAAGCTTACCAGGATATCCTAATCCTTCCTGATGAAAGAAAATTTTGCCTTCTTCCCTTTATGTTTTACTGAAATTATGTGGAGTTTTAGTTCTTAATTACTATTAATTGGGGGCCGGCCTGGTGGCGCAGCGGTTAAGCGCACACGATCTGCTTAGGCAGCCCAGGGTTTGCTGGTTCAGATCCTGGGTGCGGACACGGCACCACTTGTCAAGCCATGTCGTGGCAGGCGTCCCACATATAAAGTAGAGGAAGATGGGAACGGACGTTAGCTCAGGGCCAGCCTTCCTCAGCGAAAAGAGGAGGATTGGCGGCAGATGTTAGCTCAGAGCTAATCTTCCTCAAAAAAAAAAAAAGAAAGTTATTATTAATTTTCTTACACCATCTCTTCATATTTTTGAGAATTCTTTCTTTATAACTATATTAGCCTCTCAGCCAAACTATCAACAAATATTTAGACTTAACTACCAATAGCAGAGCTTTTTTTGAGTATCACTGCTTTTTTTATGTCTTCTTTGTACACAGATTAATGTCTCATTTGTCGGATTCCATCCTTGAATAATGTTTTCAGACCATGGGTAACACATTTTCTCAGTTCCTAGATGTCAACAGTTGCTTTATTTTGCTTTCACATATTGATACATTAGCCATTGATTACAACTACAAGTCAATATTTTCTTTTAGATATAGTCATATGAATTTTGTCACACGGACAACTCTTGTCTTTCAGAATTCTACAATGCAGATGAAAAGTCTGTTCGTCAAAGTTTGATCTGCAGAAATGAGTGAGATTCTCATTTCTTTGTGGATAACCTGTTTTGCTCTTTTTTGTCTTTATTTTTATACATAATTTTCTCTCTCTCTTTCTCACTCTGGCATCTTTTAGCCCTATTCTTTATCTTTGGAACTTAGAAACATCACCAAGATGTGTCCATGTATGTGTTTTCTCCCAGCCAGTCATTATTTGTGCTCTAAGATATTCATTCTTTTTATTTTCCATATCAATTTCCATGTTAGTCCTCCCCATTTTACTATTCAGGCCTTCTACTAGTAACCAGAAGATTTTGGTACTTTTTGGTAAAAGTTTTAATTTCTAAGAATTTCTGTTTTTGTTTTCTATGCATTTTTTTCATGATGTCCTATTCTTATTTCCTTCAGGGTCTGTTTTTCACCTTAGCCTATTTCTTTCATAGTACTGGTTTTATTAAAATGTCTCATAACTTTTAATTTTTCACTCATAATTACAAATGAGGAACTGAGTGGATTGTACAGGAAAGCTGGTCAGGGTTTCCAAGCAGGTGCACAGGTCTATTTAATCATTTCCCCCTTTTTGTGTCCTGTGAAGATGTGGGATTCCTTCAGACTCAGCTCTGCTTTATGATCTAGTTCTGATGGTCACTGCAGGAACCTTCTGTCAGTGAGATTTCTCTTACTTATAAAATTCATGAAACGATTCTTTCAGCTTTAATCAAGGAGCATCTGTCACAGGCTGACCCCTCCATATGTATGAGCTGTGGAAGAGGGATCTGCTTTAGAGTCAGCACATTAATTAATTTCCCAGAAGGATGCACTCTGGTCTATTTCCACAACCCGTAGCTGCTGACTTCATGCTTGAAATTTCTCTACGCTCTCCTGCTGACTTTGGATTGTAGTTTTTCTCTGCTGGTTTCTTGATCATACAGATTCTGTACACCTTCTATCTTCCAGAAGTTTCTCAAAACTTCTGATTTACTAGTAGTGACCTTTCCTATTTTCCTGCAGTATTATAGATTTATTCTTTCTTCTTAAATAAATTCTGTCATAACAATGGGATTTTGAGAAGGGTAGAAAATAAATGGCTATTATTGGCCTGCCATTTAGATTCAGAAGTTCACAGTTATCTTAAACAGAAGTGTTTACAATGTTTTCCTCGTCTTCTAATCACAGTCATACTATAAGCAACCTAAAAAATTCAGGAGCATTTTTAGATTAAAAGTATGTGCAGGTCACTAAGTTTTGTCAGTATTATACCTGTCAATGGCTTGAAGATCATTGGCTGGATTCCAAGTGGGATCAAATAAGACAACAACATTGGCACCAACAAAATTGAGGCCTAGCCCACCAGCCCTGGAGGAAACAGAAAACAGCATATTAAAACAGTAAAAAAAAAAAATTGTTGCTCTGTGACTCAATTGTGCCAAGTTTTTATAACCAGATCAACACAATATTGCACCATCATCATAAAAGTAAGGTGCTTAAAGCACAAATATGCCACAAATAGAACAGCTAAGGAATATTCTTTTACTACCACTCCAGAATATCCATAAAACTTTTGACCATTAGAGCCCATGTAAGTAGATTATGCTGGTTTTTACATTTTTTTTGGATACTCAAATCTATTTCTATAAGATTTTCCTAACGTAATTTTAAAAAACTGTTAGCATATTCCAGCTAAATAAAGTAATATACATATTTTAAAAAATCAATCCAGGGGCTGGCCTGGTGGCATAGTGGTTAATTAAGTTGATGTGCTTTGCCTTGGTGGCCTGGGGTTTGTGGGTTTGGATCCCGGGTGTGGACTTACACACTGCTCACTGAGCCATGTTGTGGCAGTCCCACATACAAAAAAAAAAGAGGAAGACTGGCAACAGATGTTAGCTCAGGGCTAATCTTCCTTGCCAAAAGAAAAAAAAAATCAATACAGGAGTAGATGCACTTTTCCTTATTCCTGAGAAATGCTCTCATCTTTCTGGGGAAGTTAAGATATAGCTTTCTGGAATAAAGGTAAGAGAAATACAACATAATTTTTCTCAAGAGCCTTTCAAACTATGATTCATGGTGTTGGAATATTTAGAGGCACCTAAATCATCTGGAAAAATTGACCTTTGGAGTATAGTAACCCAAATCCTTAATTTAATCCTTGTAAGTGAATAACTATGAAAACATTACAGTTCAAGTTACATGGTTTGCTTAGAAAGTTGTTTCTAGTCAATCAGTGTGTGATTCTGAAAGTTTACATGAAGAATGAACTTGTGCCTGGTACTCATGCTATAGATAGTCTCTCTCCTGCTTATACAGAAAGTCAAAAGTTTTATCTTCATTTTATTTGACCTATGGTTAAAATACACACATATATTTTTGACAGTATTTATTAATGTCAAATTACTTAATGGCTTTGTTACATTTATTTTTTTAGCAGCCAAAACATATCAGAATACTATTAATTCCTTTTGGAATGAAGTTATTTCTAAAGATATCTTTTCTAAAGGTATCTTTCAGCAAAACTGGATGTACACAGTATTCATCTACAGAGTTAAAGATTTCAGCTTCCTGCAAAGCTTATCAGCTTTTATATAACGGTAACTGTTATCTTCCTACGTTTTGAATTTTCTGGTCTACATACCCTATATTTAATAATTATTTTATGATATAACAATGACAAAATTTTGCATTTTTTAAAAGGAAAGCAAAACTAAAGTCCAAGAACAAAATTATTCTCTTCAACAGTTTTTCTAATCTCAACTTTCAAAGTCTTTCTCATTCCTTAGATCCTCCACATTCTATTCTAGTATTAAATAAGTATATCAAAAAGTATACTTTAACCATTTTTTAACGTTCCACAAAAAAGGGCTTCAATGAATTAAGTTTTATGGTTATGTATTAACTATTATAAAGGGCCAATTGAAGTATTCATTTAAAGAATGCATTTTAGAAAACCTAAATAAATGAAGAGATACCATGTTCATGGATAGGAAGGTTCAATATCATAAAAATGCCAATTTTCCTCAAAGTCATTTATAAATTCAACAACTCTAATAAAAATCTTAACCCAAGGAAAAAATGCTTCTTTAATTAACTGAATGAGATGATTATGGGAAGCTAAGCTTTAAGGTGTTGATGTTCCTGAATAAAGATAATTCTGAGAACAAAAGAGCTTAGAAAGCAAGAAAAATTTTAGACTAAAAATTATTTCAAATAATATAAGATTGGAAAATGACATTTTTCAGAATGTAGAGCAAAGATAAAAACATAAAATATGAGAGAAAAGTTCAGAGATTTAAAGAATAAATATAGGAGCTCTAAAATCTGACAACCTAGCATGCAAGCTAGAGAGGGAAAATGGAAGAGAAGCCAAAGAAATAATCAAAGAGAATTTTCCAGAGTTAAAAAAGAATAAAGCCTTCAGATTGTGCCCAGCACAATAAATAAACAAAGACCCACACCAAGACTCAAATATCACTATGAAATTTCAGAATACCACAGATGAAGAGAAACTCCTGTGAGTTCCCAAAGGGGAATGAGAATCAGACTGGCATTAGACATCGATTAAGCAACACTAAATACCAGGAAACAATGCTGTGATAACTTCAGTCTAGAATTCTACAGTTGGCCAAAATAGCAGTTAAGTGAGAGAGCACATAAAAGACATTTTTCTGATATTCAAAGATGCAGAAAGTTTACTTTCTATACAACCTGTCTTACAAAGTTACTTGAAGATATTCTTCAGTAAAACAAGGGGGCAAACCAAGAATGAAGATGGCATGAAATCCAGGAAAAATGGATCCAATGCAGAAGAGAGTGAAAGATAACTTCAAGATAATAGTTCCTTATCAGGCCCTAGAGAGTAGCCAGTCCAGATTGAAAACAGAGAACAAAAGCCTTCAGGAGGAAGTTCTTCAGGATACAAAGGACTCAAGAGAAAAGAAAGTGTGAATGTGAATTAGTAATATATTGAAGATTACTATCACAAAAGGCAAGAATACACTGAGGGAAAAAAACTGAATAAGAAAGTCACGACTGAAATATGAAGTGAACTGAACTGTGCAAACATAAGACGACAGCAGAAGTGTTAGAAAAGAGAACTCATTTGAGCTTGATATTAAGACTATTCTCCTTGAACTGGCCGAGAGATCATGAACATTCAGAGAAGTTCCCTTAGCACTACATGCTCCAGCATTAAACAGTGTCCACAAAATCCTAATAATGTAAATGCTGTTTTGTAGCCTCCAAATTTTTGAGCCATCCTATGGACAGAGCACAGAAGACTTAGTTATTGTTGCAGGACTTAGTGAAAATTACTATCCCTGATGAGGTAAAAGTTAAAATAGTTGACAGATCATATGGACAGGCGACAAAAGTAGAAGAAAGGGTGGGTATGTGCTAATGCTAATACCACACATTACAAGCACTTAGAAGATACCATAGAAAGTTGATGGACTAAACATCAAAAACTGAAGTATATTATTTAAAGATACAAAAGTAATTCATAGACAAATAAAAATAGTAAAGACTGTGTGGAAAGTGGGGAAAGGGTAGTGTAAGTAGACTAAATCCTCCTCTTTCATAACAGACTCCAAGATGTGTAAAGTTGATAAACTAAAAGATAAAGAAGACTTAGGATTCTGGGTAAAACGATGGACTAAGCCAACATGAAAACTTTTCTGCTACAACACCTATAAATTAAATACAAACAATTGCAAAATGAGAAAAACAAAACAAAAACTGAGCCTCTGTGTCTTTTGCAAAACATAGCTGAAGAATGTATTTATTCTGTCATGTAAGGTTCTTTATGTAAAGACTCATGCAACAAATTATTCCTTGAATTTACAGGAAAATAGGAATCCAAAACTTCTTCCCTTGCCTTTGTTGGGATGCCTTGCAGAAGTCAAAGCAAAACTACAGTAGTGCACAACTCCTAAGCCAGTCTCCAAAGGATTTCCACAGAGGAAAAAGTCCCACTGAGGACAAGCGCAAAATAGGAAACTACAACGTGTGAAGAAACCACCTACCACAAGCAAGAGCCAGAGGCAATAACAGGCAGAAACATTAGTTCCCATAAGTACAGGAGTTAACAGAGCAGAAATGCCATTCACAAAGAGATTTAAAAAAATAATGATTGGAATTATTAAAGAAATAAAGAAAGGCTAGAAACCATAAAGAACAAAATATAAGTAAAAATTAGGCTGATTAGAAAAGTATCAATAGGACTTCTAAAAATGAAAAATACAGTCTTTAAAAATTAAAAATTCAATGAATGGGTTAAACAGCAATTTGTAAGATCTGAAGAGATCATTAGCAGCTTTATGGCAGATCTTATCATTTTAGACTGGTGGCGAGCAGAGGAGCAGTGAGACATGACTGCTTGTTTTACGTTCTACAGTATTTGAACTGTTGTTGAAGGCATTATTGCCCTGAAAACATTATTTAAAAATTAAGCATGACTATGTGTGTTTTATAAAACCTAACTGAAGGTAGTATTCTATGTCATCTAGTGCTCTGCATGTAAGGACTCGTGAGAAATCACTTCTTGAATTCATTCACAAGGAAACGGGAACCCAGAGCTTCTCTCTTCATGCCTTAGTTGCAGGAGTTCAAAAATAATTTCAGTGCTCAACAGTAAGTAGCTCATTCATCATACATATTATTTTATTCCTCATTTTAAGTAATTTTCATTTTGATAATTTTGACTTTTTGCATTTTACATATGTTTATTTTTTAAAGTCTCTTGAAATTCTTTTTGAAAGACAGCAAGAACAAATCTATAAAATACTTATTACATTAGGTGTCAAAAGTTATGGATTTGTTACCCCCCAAAAAGGGATTAATCTTCTTAGGTGTGACTGAAATCTTTCTCTAAAGTGTGTATATTCTGTAAAAGGTTTTAATGAGAGATTCACAAACAGGTGTTAGAACTGATTTAACTTTCATAAAACCTATAAACGTGGAGCTGCTCTGGTGAATGGCAGGTAGAGACGGAGGAGGGAAACGCCGGGCCCCCCAGGCCCAGTGGGCTCCCTAGCTTCCTTGAGCACAGTTTGAAAATCACTGCTACAATGATTCTCAGTTGTTCGATTAATAATTTGATTATTCAACCAAGTCTGATTGTTCTGATTACAAGACATGAGTCAAAACACAACCACAGAAAATTCCTGTGGGGCAAACACTTATTTTCTTGATTGTTATCTTTATAAGCTCAGACTGATAAAGAGAATTCAGTGATGATAAGAGAATTAAGAGAAAAGGTTAGGTAAAGCTCAGATATTGTTATTTCAGTCATAATTAATAGCATTTTTGCTCCTTCTCCTTCAAGCCAAATAAAACAAAGCAATATAAGTACAACCATTGAAAATTAATCCAGTAATCGGTTAAAAATTACCCTAAATCTTAAAAGCAATTAGATAAAAATCAAGTTATCAAATTTTGTTTTCTTACATTGTGGAGACAAGGCAAATGTTAACATCTTGTGTGCTGTTGAACTCTTTCACGATCTTGATTCTGTCCTCTGATTTTGTATTTCCATCCAGTCGTCGGTAATCAAGCCCAGACGCCATACAGTATTGCTGCAGCACGTCAAGCAGCTGGAGGAAAGGTAAGGAGACGGGCAAAGATGAATTCATGGTTTAATAAGTTTCATACCACTACAGAGATGAGATTTACTAAGTATTAATCATTGCTGCTCCCAATTTCTTTATTAGAATTACAAGAGCAACAAATATTTTTCTGACTTCTGACCCATATATTTCTGCCCATTATCCTGAAACTGACTTTAAGGTTCAACAACCTTTGTTTTAAAAAAGTCAATCTTTCAGGCGAAGAAATCAATCTTTAATTTTTTTAAACTGAAACCAAATAAAAAGAAAAGTATTCCTAAATCATTTATGTAAATATATTTCATTGTTTGTGCTATTTTCCACATTCTAAAATCTCTTAAATGTCTTAAAGGACACTAATTATTAACAAAAACATCAACAGAGAATCGAAAATCCATCTTTGCGTTTGCTGTTGAGGGTTAAGCGTCTGTTTCGAAAGTCGCTTACCTCACTACGTTTCCTACAGTACGTCTAACAGAAAATGCAGCTGGACACTGTCACGTCTCTCAGGCTTTCTGCCTCAGCAGTCAGGGCTGGGCCAATCAAGAACGCACTGTACATGAAACTCACCTTGGTGGAAAAGGAGAAAAGAAGGACTTTATCTTTGTTTTTCCTGCAATGATTTAAAAGCTGCTGAAGGACCTGGAAATGAACCACAGAACATCAGTGTATGAGTTCCAACTAAAAGTACACTGTATACATATAAAAATTACTTGAGAATTTCTTAAAAATTATTTTTATACAACATAACCTGTTTCCCAAACAGGTTTCCCGAATATGCTTCCCAAATCCCTTCATTTCTGCCAAGTTAGAGAAATAAAGTATTAGATATTACGTGAAATGTTATTCATCATCATATTGTCAATAATGAGGTAAAGTTCCTAAAGTCTTTTATTTCATCTCATATGGTTTTAATAAAAAGGAAGCATTTTAGATTATAGGATGCATTTAAATGGATTAATTTAATTTCCAACATACACTTTCTTTATACCTACAATATGTTCAGAAAGTAAATTACACAGCAGTATTCCTTTTAGGAAGTCTTTAAATTTTCTTTAGATAGATGTAATGAAATGTGTTTCATTCTAAAAGTCTTGATATTTATTTTCTTAAAATAATCAGTCAGATGTACACCTCTTCTCATTTTCTCCCCTCTGTCCCTCTATTTACAGTAAGTCCTGACTTCCATCTTTGATTCTGACCTCAAAATGCCAATAATTTGCTCCTATACACAGTGCTTTTAGGGAGGAAGCAAATAATCCAAAGCCTGTGTATAACAGTTACACTGTTATTTTTAAAACAAGCATTTCCACATCTGGCAATGACAGTTCCAAAACACTGTGGAAAAGTAATCCACAAAGGAAAGAAAGGAATTTTCCATACTAAGTCTAAGGTTTTTCTGAACTATACAATAAACACTTAAGCAATTTTATTTATTCAATGATAAAGACTTAAACTTTTAAATAAAAAAAATTATGCTCAATATAACACTCTTTTAATAGTTGAGCAAGAGAAGACATTGTGCTAACTCTGACCTCTACCCCTCAATCCTGCTAAAAGAGTTATGGAGTCAAAAAAATATGCTCAGATAACCAACCAAGTGGGGAATAAAAATGTCACAGATCAGGTAATACTTGGAGAACATATAAAAGTAAGTTTTATTTGCATTAGCTTTATTTTTTAATACAATAACTGATTCTATATAAAGTATGTACATTTGAATTTCACATAATACATTAACATTTGAAAATTAGTAGACTATTTTTTAGAGCAATTTTAGATTTACAGAAGAATTGAGTAGAGAACTCCCACAGACCGTCCCCACTCGCCACCCCTGCACACAGTTTGCCCTATTATTAATACCTTGCATTAGGGTGGTGCATTTGTAACACCTGATGGATGAATGAATACTGATAAATTATTATTGACTAAAGTCCATACTTTACATTAGGGTTCACTCACTGTGCTGTACAGTTTTATGGATTTTGACAAATATATAATGGCATATATCCACCATTACAGTACTATACAGAATAATTTCACTGCCCTAAAAATTCCCTGTGTTTCATCTATTCATCCCTCCCTACAAACCCTAGTGACCACTGATATTTTACTGTCTCCTTCCTTTTGCCTTTTCCAGAATGTCATATAGTTGGAATCAGCAGTATGTAACCTTTTCAGACTGGCTTCTTTCACTTAGGAATATGCATTTAAGGTGGCTCACTGTCTTTTTATAGCTCGATAGCTCGTTGCTTTCTATTGTTGAATAATATTCCATTGTCTGGATGCACCACAGTTTGTTTATCCAGTCACCTATTGAAGGATATCTTGGTTGCTTCCAAGTTTTGGCAATTATGAATAAAGTTGCTATAAACATGTGTGTGCAGGTTCTTGTGTGGATACAAGTTTTTAACTCATTTGAGCAAACACTAAAGATGAAGATCACTGGATCTTATGGCAACAGTATGTTTAGCTTTGTGAGAAACTGCCAAACTTTCTTCCAAAGTGGCTGTATCACTTTGCATTCTCACCAGCAATGAATTTGAGTTGCTGTTGTTCCACATCCTTGCTAGCACTTGCTGTTGTAAGTGTTTTGCGTTTAGCCATTCTAATAGGTATGTAGTGGTATCTCATTGTTGTTTTAACTTGCACTTCCCTAAAGACATGTGATTTTGAGTATCTTTTCATATGCTTCTTTGCCATCTTTATATCTTCTTTGGTGAGGTACTCTTCAGATCCTTTGCCCATTTTTAAGTTGGATTGTTTCTTTTATTATTAAGTTTTAAGAGTTCTTTGCATATTTTAGATACTAGTCCCTTATTGTTTTACAAATATTTTCTCCCAGTCTGTGGCTTGTCTTTTCATTCTCTTAAAGACATTAACACTTTAAATGAAGGATATAGGACACAGAAATCCACTCTGCAATCATTTGGGTGCTATCATATCTATTGCGATTTCAGGTATTCTTGAATATCTTACAGCAAAAACGAAAACAAGCAATAATAAAAGTGAATGTTTTTAGACTGGAGGTCTTTATTAGGCTAGTTTTTTTTTAAGAAAACAGACATTAGCTAAATGAATAACTATAAACTAAGATCTCTTACTAGAAGTTTCAGAAATGACAGTGTCGTCACTATAGGTCAGATCTTAACAATACAGACCCAATGTTTTATCACTCAGTTGTCCTCCACAGAACAGGAAAATCCTCCTGTAAAGGAATCCTAAATTTGGGAATGTTCACAGCAAAGGAATCTTGGATCCAACTTTTCTCAAATTAGTCATGCCTAGAGATGTACATGACCTTTGTATGATTCCAACAGCACTAAACTGGGTTTCCTAGTCTTTTTCTCCACCTCCCCATAGTAAGTGGCTCTGTAGCATTTCCCAAGAAAGAAAAGATGAGAATCCTTAGGGGAAGGAATGCAACTTGTGACCATCCATTTGAATAATAGCTGAGGTCAAAAAAGACCTTGATGCTTAAGAGCTGGAGTTCATGAGTGTAGCTTTGAGGCTATGAAGGGTAGAGCGGGTATTATGCCCACAAATAAATTGCAGCTGCAGGCTAACCTACAATAAAAGAAGCAGAAGTAGGATGATTTTATCTCCTGAATTCAAGAAGTATATGCAACTCAAAGTTCTTAACCCAAAAGGCAATAATTGCATTATAAGCCTACAGGTTTTGTATCACTAAGTCAGATGCTGCTGCTAATCAAATGATGAAACACAGTCTTAAAAATATATCCCTAGCTTAATCCACTCAGTCTCTGTTTTGTTGGTGTTCTCTCACAAAACAAATAAATTATATGCTTCTTTCACCTATAAAGACACCTATCCAGCCTCCAGCAACAATTCACGCTTGTTTTTTCTCTTCTAAAAGTTATAACAAAAAAATAAATCTAATAATTAGATTAATCACACACTATTATTCCTAGATATATAACTCAGTATGCTTTAAATCATATATTTAACGGGTATATAAGAATATAAAATTCCATTTAATTGCAAGAGTGGTAACTTTTTAATGAAGAATCACAATGAATAAAATTTAAACAAACAGCAATGGATACTGCAGTTTTCAAAGGAATTTCTGGATTTCTGGAAATATTCTATTGGTTTAAATTATAGGATAATAAGTGTTCAGTTCTAAATTAATTGGGCTTTTTACATTTTTTTAACTTAAAAATAAAGTCAATAAAATGGATGACAAAAATAGATTTGCTATTGTTAGCAAATATTATTGAATTCGAATTATTTGTTGTGATAATAAATCACAGAATAATTCTCACTAATAGTAATTTATTTATTTTAAAAATTCACAACTTTCAACAAAGTGGATATAGAAGGAACATACCTCAACATAATAAAGGCCATATATGAGAAGCCTACAGACAACATCATACTCAATGGTGAGAAACTGAAAGCTTTTCCTTTAAGATCAGGAACCAGATAAGGATGCCCATTCTCACCACTTTTATTCAACATAGTACTGGAAGTCCTAGCCAGAGCAATTAGGCAAGAAAAAGAAATCAGAGCTATCCAAATCAGAAAGGAAGAACTAAAACTGTCTCTTTTGCATATGACATGATATTATATATAGAAACCCTCAAAATTCCACCAAAAAACTCTTAGAACTAATAAATTCAGGGAAGTTGCAAGATACAAAATCAATACACAAATATCTGCTGCATTTCTGTATACTAAGAAAGAACTATCAGAAATTAAGAAAACAATCCCATTCACAATTGCATCAAAAAATATATATAACTAGGAATAAATTTAACTAAAGAGGTGAAAGATCTGTACACTGAAAACTGTAAGACACTGATGAAAGAAATTGAAGAATACACAAATAAATGGAAAGATAACCTGTGCTCATGGATTGGAAGAATTACTACTGTTAAAATGGCTATAATACCCAAAGCAACCTACAGATTCAATGCAATCCCTATCAAAATCCCAACGACATTTTTCATGTAGAAAAAGCAACCTAAAATTTGTATAGAATGATAAAAGACTCTGAATAGCCAAATCAATCTTGAGAAAGAACAACAAAGCTGGAGGCATTATACTTCCTGATTTCAAACTATATTACAAAGCTATAGTAATCAAAACAGTATGGTACCTGGCATAAAAACAGATGTATAGATCAACGGAACAAAACAAGAGAGCCCAGAAATAAACCTATGTATATATGGTCAATTAATTTATGAGAAAAGAGCCAAGAACCTACAATGAGGAAAGGATAGTCTTCTCAATAAATGGTATTGGGAAAACTGGACAGTCACATGCAAAAGAATGAAACTGATCTCAAAAAGTTATTTGCATTCCCATGTTCACTGAGCATTATTTATGATAGTCAAGACATGGAAACAACATAAGTGTCTGTGGACGGGTAAATAGATAAAAAGAATGTGGTGTATACATGTACAATGGATTATTCAGCCATAAAAAAGAAGGAAATCCTGCCATTTGTGACAATAGGGATAGACCTTGAGGACGACCCTATGCTAAGCGAAATAGACAGAGAAAGACAAATATCGTGTGATCTCATTCACATGTGGGGAAAAAAAAAAAAACCGAACTCATAGGTACAAAGAACAGATTGGTGGTTGCCAGAAGCAAGCGGTTGGGGGTGGATGAAATGGGTGAAGGTGGTCAAAAGGTACAAACTTCCGGTTATAAGAAAAATAAGTCCTGGGGACATAACATACAACATGGTGACTACAGTTAACGATACTGTATTGTATATTTGAAAGTTGCTAACAGAGTAGATCTTAAAAGTTCTCATTACAAGAAAAAGAAAATTGTAACTATGTGTGGTGGTGGATGTTAACCAGACTGACTGTGGTGATCATTTTGCAATATATACATATATCAAGTCATTATATTGTACACCTAAAACTAACACAATGTTATAAGTCAATTATATCTCAAAAAAAAATACACATACAAATTTTTAAGGTTATCTTCCTAGCTTTCATTTTATTTCATTGAATTAAAAAGTCCAAGCAAACTAAACTACAGTGAGCTTATGTAGATTAACTGCTAAAAATATTTCCAGGATTTTAAGAAAAATAAAAACAAAAAATGAATTACTTTTAATGACTTCCTTTTTATCTTTTTGCCAAAAGAAATAACTGATTTTTTTCTTAATTAAAGTATAAAGTTGGGAATTGTTCTGTAAAAATCTTTGAATCCATAAATAAAGATTCTTGATAGTTATTAAGGGTTTACACAAAGAAATTCTGCTGCAAGGAGGCTGGAGGCTGTCAGCATTTCATGCAGCTGTCACAGGCAATGCCTGGAGGCCTGGGTCATGGCTGGAGAATCCAGTCTTACTTTTCACATCTCTCCCTCAGTAATACATCACCAAGATCAGCGACTACAGGGTCAGTTTCCTGGTGTACAACAAATGCTCCCATGCTACAAATGAGATTTATCCACCTTGAACTCTTCAAGAAGTTCCTTTCTCTAATTCCAAGCTATTGCCTACCCTCACCCTCCTATTTGGCATTAGCATTTATATTTCTGGTAGATAAGCTCCTTAAACATTTGAAGACAATTATTATATATATGGTAACAGCGTACACTTTTTAAAAGGCATGAGTTCAATACATCAAAAAGGAAAGTTTGAAATATATCTGATCTAACTGCTACTAATTGAGAACCTGTAGCATGAAGGGTTCATGGTGAGCTGGTCAATGCTGATACAACTACACTATTGTCTTTGGCCACCATCTTGTCTGAATAATTGGGCATCTGTTCTGATTAGTTGGTCTCCCTGTAACACCATTTGATAAATGTTTTGTGTATCATCCTTGTGTGTATGCAACCTGAAAGAAGAGCACTTACCTTCATTTTTCCACTGTATTTTGGGTCAGAAAGTGTTTCAAAGGCTGCATCTTTGCTTTTCTGCACAAAATCTGGGAATTTGGAAAATACCTGATCACATATCCTTTTGATAAGTGTTTCCTTAAGGGGAAAAGGTAGAAGAAAAGAAATTTCAAATTAACACATTTAAATTTGTATAGATTGAGTTTATTAAAAAAATTCTATTTAGAAGGAATATATTACTTTGAAGATTTTAATCCTCTTAAACAGACTAATAATTCAGAAAACCTTAAAGTGATATGTTAATTATATATAGCCTTGATGAGTTCTGAGATAATGATATGGCTACTAATTTTATCATTACTTTAAGATTTCCAAAAGAAGGAACCAAATACTTTCCAAAGAACAAACAGTACAATTGAAGAACAATAGTAAATTATTATTAGATTTTCAAATTACATTTAAACAGCATCAAGACTATATAACACACACAAAAAATATAAAACCATTCCATAAAAAAGCTTTAAAAAAAGATCTTCTTATTTATGTTGTGCTCTAGAATAAGACACAATTGAAATGACCAATGTAAATGATTGCTTTTATGCCTAAACTTTGAAATTACTGATTTTTGCCAGTTGGGAAATACCCCTAATATTTAATACACAGATTATTATAAACCCTTATTTTAATCTAGTATATTAGATAAATGTAATTAGACACATTATTAATGGAATAGAACTGACTCATCAAATATCTTATTTAGTAACTATATTAAAATATGTTAGGAAAATAAATATATGATGATTATCAGAGGCATAAAAAGAGTTATTTTAATTTAAGCTTAAATTTTCTCACTTTGATTAAAAACTTAAGTATATATACTTCTTTGACACCTAAATTAAAAAACAAGCAAGTCAGTTTCTTCTTAAATTTCATACAAAAATAACTTAGAGATATTTGGCTAAGAAATTTTATACCAAAAATATAAAATATTTATGCCAGATAACATGACAAAGAAATTGAAGACGACAACCCAAACCTGCTGTTTGGAAGCGCTGGCAGCCTGCAGTAGTGCGACGTGGTTGGCGACCTTCTGAAGGACTGCAAGGTAACTGAAATACAAGGTCTTCACTGTCTCCCCATGGGAATTGGTCTGTAACCAGAGACATACAGAAACTAAAAGCAAGCAAAGACTAACATGGCTTTATAACTACTTACAGCACAAAATATATCACTTACGATAACATTTATTACCTGGCTACTATTGGCACAATACATTCTGAGAAAATGATGGTCAGCTGTCACACAAAATATCGATGAATCACTAATGTGTAATCATACTTTTGGTGACCCTTAATACAGTGATGTCTTTAATAACAGAGGGGAGAAAGTCCTCATCCAGAAAGCATTTATCCTCCTGATACACAGTGATAGAAGTGCTGCTGTGAGAGGCTCCTGGTGATGAAACTGTCACCAGGTGCTGAGGCGGTGTCATACAGATCCCTGACTCTCCTCTCCCAATCACACACCACAGTTTCTCAGGAAACCATGCTAGGGCAAAAAAGTGAAGTGGTTAAAAATAGCCAAATAAATGACAGAAAGAAGAAACATCAATCTAGATAAACATCTGCCCCTCTACGTACATGGATATGTGACAGATAACTTGATAATAAAATACGTGAAACAGGGGCAGGAAATGTAGACAGAAGGTTAAAAAACAGTACAAATGAATATTTGTTGCTGAATAAAAATAAAATACTCATGTTATTGTACTGATACACACCTTCTACCAAATTAACTCTATCTGACTTCAGAAGAATATTTTAAGCCTGCTATCAGAAAGTAAGTCAGTTTACTATTAGTGGATAATGAGAAACTTCCTGAAAATGAAATGAAATTTCAAGATGAAAGTAGGATACTTCTCAATAAAAGCTGAAAGGGAGGACATCAAATTGAAGCTACTTTCAAACACTAGTTTTTTTTGTTGTTTTTTTTTAAAGATTTTATTTTTTCCTTTTTCTCCCCAAAGTCCCCCGGTACATAGTTGTATATTCTTCGTTCTGGGTCCTTCTAGTTGTGGCATGTGGGACGCTGCCTCAGCGTGGCTTGATGAGCAGTGCCATGTCCGCGCCCAGCATTCGAACCAACGAAACACTGGGCCGCCTGCAGCGGAGCGCGTGAACTTAACCACTCGGCCACGGGGCCAGCCCCTCAAACACTAGTTTTTTAAAAAGATATTTGAATATTATATTTCGCTGTGATTACTATTTGATATTATAAAATATTTTTGAAAACTATTCTTTTTTACTAACTTATGGCTGCTAAAGATAAAGAACCCTCTGAGGAAAAGTTATTTTATCTGCTACTTATCCTGACACTAGACTAGAGTACCACGTAATCAAAAGCAAGAGAGTAAAGGTACCAGACTGAACTGCTTGCCTTATAACAACAATTTCTCCTTTTTCGGCCGCTGCTGCAGGTACAAGGCTCAGAAGATTGAAGTATCAAAGTCACATCTTCTGTCTCCAACACTGTTTGATAGACGGCTTTCTGAAAATCGGTCAGAGAACAATACACCATCTGCCAAGAAAGGACAGAAGGTCATCATTAGTACCTTTTTTTATAGGAGTAAGTTCATAGGTTGTAACAGTGAAAACTGCTCATAAGTTAATTTATTTTTCTTCTAGACATATTATTATGACAATTTCTCCCAATTCTCCTTTATTCTTTGTCACCACCCTACGCTAAACTATACAAATTATAACTTTATTTTCAAATAAATCTGTTTGTTTTTTAATTAAAAGGAATCAAAATATGAAAAAAGAAGTTATGTGATCTACTTATATGTTTCTCAATATATTGTGAGCCTTTTCAGAGTTCCATATTATTAGCCCATCATGCAAAAAAATGATTAAAGTTTAGGTTAAATTAAAAACTAGATAAGGAAAAAAGGGAACACTTTAGAACAATAGTATGGATCACACTTACTGAATTACTTGAAAACTTAGAAAAAATAAAAAAACTTCTTATTACTGAAATGAGCTAAAGTATTTGTATTTAATATCTTGCTATAAATTATTAGGATTGGTAAAGAATTAAGTAAATACACATAAAAGCAGCTACAAGTTGCTATTTTGTGCCCAAATCCAAGAAAAGAAGATAAAATAATGCCACTAACTTATGAGAGATACAATGTGCCTTATATTTCTGGTAGCATAAGAACTTAGTAAAATTCTTCTAGATATAGCTGTATGTAAGTAGCGTGGTAAAATTAAATATACCCACAATAGGACTTCGAGGAATGTGAAAAAGAGGGAAAACCCATCTATTTATAAATATTTATATGTGTTTATCACTACAACAGAATATTATTGCAAAAAAAAAAAGACAAATATGTGAACCTGAGTAAATACAGATATGTCTATATAAAACAACGGTAGATTAAAAAAAAGTATAAATATTAGCTATATCTTGACTCTGCCTTGAATACAAAAGTACATATAAAAATAAGAAGAGAATACAGAAAATGGAGAGCAATGATTCGGGTATGGAGGAAATTTTGAGTTATTATTTTTCTCAGCTTTACTGAGATATAATCGACATATAACATTGTGTAAGTTTAAGGTGTACAACGTGATGATTTGATACACGTATATACTGCAAAATGATTACCAGAACAATAAGGTTATTTGACACATCAATCATTTCACATTCTTACATTTTATTTTTCCCGTAGTGAGAACTTTCAAGATCTACACTCTTAGCAACTTTCAAGTACATACACAATACAGTATTGTTAACTATAGCCACCATGCCGTACATTAGATCCCGGGAACTTACTCATCCTATAATTGAAAGTTTATGCCCTTTGACCAATCTCTCCCTATTTCTCCTACCCCAGGAGCCCCTTGCAACCACCATTCTACTCTCTGTTTCTATGAGTATGGCTTTAAAAAAAAAAAAAATTCAACATATAAGTGAGATCACACAGTATTTGTCTTTCTCTGACTTATTTCACTTAGCATGATGCCCTCAAGGTCCATCCATGTTGTCACAACTGACAAATTTTCTTCTTTTTTATGGCCGAATAATATTACATTATATATATGTGCATATATATATGTATATTTATCACATTTTCTTTATCCATTCATCTGTTGACAGACATCTAGGTTGTTTCCAGGTCTTGGCTACTGCGAATAATCCTGCAATGAACATGAGAGTTCAGATACCTCCTACAGAGTGGTGTCATAGCCTTTGAATATATACCCAGAAATGGGATTGCTACACCATAGGGTAGTTCTATTTTTAATTTTTTGTGGAACCTCCACACAGTTTTCCATAAAGGCTGTACCAATTTACATCCCCACCAACAGGGCATCAGGGTTTCCTCTTCTTCACATCCTCACCAATGCTTATCTCCTGCCTTTCTAAAAGGTGTGTGGTGACATCTCATTGTAGTTTTGATTTGCATTTCCTTGATCAGTGATGTTGAGCATCTTTTCATGTACCTGTTGGCCATCTGTAGGTCTTCTAAATGTCCATTCAGCTCTTCTGCCCATTTCAGAATCAGATTATTTGTGGTTTTGCTATTGAGTTGTATGAGTTCTTTATATTTTGGATATTAATCCCTTATCAGATATATGGTTTGCAAATGTTTTCTTCCATTCTATAGGTTGTCTCTTCCTTCTATTGATTATTTCTTTTGCTGTACAGAACTTTTTTAGTTTGATACAGTCTCACTTTATTTTTGCTTTCGTTGCTTGTGCTTTTGATATATCTAAACAATCATCAAGAAGACCAAAGTCAAGGAGCTTTTTCCCTATGTTTCTTTCTAGGAGTTTTATGGTTTCAGGTCTTACATTTAAGTCTTTAATTCATTTTGAGTTAATTTTTGTGACAAGTATTAAGATAGGAGTCCAATTTCATTTTTTTTGCACATTAATATCCAATTTTCCCAACATCATTTATCAAAAAAGACTCTCTTTTCTCCGTGGAGTATTCTTGGCTCCCTTCTCAAATATTAGCTGACTGCATATGCGGGGGTTTACTTCTGGGGTCTCTATTCTATTCCATGGGTCTATGTGTCTCTTTTTATGCCAGTACTATACTGTTTTGATTACTATAGCTTTGTATTATAGTTTGAAATCAAGAAGTGTGATGCCTCTAGCTTTGTTCTTCTTTCTCAAGAGTGTTTTGGCTATTCAGGGTCTCTTTTGGTTCTATACAAATTTTAGGATTGTATTTTTCTATTTCCATGAAAAATGCCATTGGAATTTAGATAGGGATTGCACTGAATCTATACATGGCTTTGGGTAGTATGGACATTTTAACAATATTAATTCTTCCAATCCATGAATATGGGATATCATCCCATTTATTTGTATCTTCTCCAATTTCTTTAATCAATGTCTTATAGTTTTCAGTGTACAGGTCTTTCACTTCCTTGGTTAAATTTATTCCTAAGTATTTTATTGTTGAGTTGTTACTATTAAAACATGTAGTAACATTTACTGAACACTTCTTACATGTCATGCATTTCAGAGCAACCATGTGAGGCAGGCACTGTTATGATCATTCTCATTTAAAAGATAAAGAAACCAAGGTTGGAGAGACTTAGCAAATCGCTCAAGGTCACAAAACTCACAAGCAGGGGCGCCAGGATTCAAGCTTATGGTATTCGATTTTGGAGCCCAAGCTCTAAAACTCTATGCACAACTCTCTCTTCGTATATTTATGGTTTATTGTTCCTACTAGATAGACAACTAAGTAATACACATAAAATTGTACAAAACATTTTAAAAAGCGAGGGGGTTCATGATGTAGTCCAATTAAATAATAATATTTAAATATTTACTTTAGATCAAAAAGTCAAATGTTTTATCAATTTCCAAAATTTGCATATCAGTATCATATTTTCCTTTCAAATCTGTCTTTTTAAAGTAATAATCAATGAGATATCCTAAGACTAGAACGTATTTTGACAGGATCAACCTTATTCAGGACATTATTTAGATTTAGTTTATAATAATTTATAGAACCACAAGATTAAAAACTATAAAAGACCACTATATTTTATAAAGACCACTATATTTTATATCTTAAAAACTACAAAGACCAGTATATTTAAAAAAAAAAATCCTCTTACGGTCAATTCTTCAAATTTAAATTTAAATTGTTTAACCACTTTGGTCCTGTAGCTAGAATTAAGTTACCAAAGAATATACTGGGTTGTAGATGGTAGACAGTATAGGAAGGACAAAATATGAACAGAAAACACATTAGGGAGAGAAGTTCTTTCTTCATTGAGGAAGAATCATACCAAAAGCCTTCTTGTTTAAAATAAGAGAAATGAGCTTAATGTATACTAACAATAAACCTGTTAGCTAACAGGTTAGTAAAGTTAGAAAGGAAAACAATTTGGCTCAATTAACGTTTTCTGAAATCCTGCACACATATAACAGGTTTTTTTTCACACTGAATAAAAGGGAAAAAACTACATTCATAAAATACCACAGGAGATAGATTTCTTCTTAAAAGGAAATTTTTTTCAGAAAAAAATAAAACATGACAGGAAATTAATACTATACACAAATGCAGTTCTCACCCGGTCTTCCTTCTTAGGCAGCTGATCCTTGATTAGAACCTTGGTGCGCCTGAGAAACCACCCAGACATCTTCTTTGCGAGCCTCCGCATGGCCTTTCGGCCAGTAGCTAGTTCTCTCTTTGTTGCTGTGTGTCTCTGACCATGTTCTACTGGGTCAGAAAACTGCTTCTTGAAGTTGATCCTGCTGCCCAAAAGTCCTGGTACGGCCCTTTAAAACAGCAATAAGAAAAATGGTAGGGCTTTATTAAATTATCTAAAAAGGAAAACAGTGACTTCTTTCTGTTCTAAGAAATATATTAAGTCACTTGTTTATTAATGACAATAACAAAAAGCAAGAAAACAGAATGTTCTTTTTTATGACAGTTTCAGTAAATAACTAGAAGAAGATGATGGAATTGGTAAATTAGTTCAGACATTTACTTCAGGGACCAAGAGTAACAAAGAGGTTTTCATGGGACTCTCTACTCTGTATATTATGTTTGAGATCAAGCACTTCTGTAAACAGACAATATTTTTTCTGAAACTAATAATTAGCAAACAAGGTAACATTAAGTTAAAGAAGAATTAAATAATTTTCAAAAAACAAAAAGTGTTTTCTTTCACTCACCAGTCCATAACACACCACAGTTCTTTCATGTTGTTCTGAAGAATGGTTCCAGTGAGGCCAATGCGGACATTACATTTTAAAGCTTTCATAACTTCTGTTACTCTAGCCTTTGGATTCTTGATTCTATGAGCTTCATCCACAATGACAGCTGACCATTCCAAACTGTAAAAGAAGAAAAAAGGAGGGAAAAGTCGAGAAAACTTCCCTGTTTTAGTCTATATAGTTTTTAGAGAGCAGCATTCTCAACCAAAGTTTTGGGTTTTTCTCCCTCTTTCCTCTTTGATGATTCCATAGGATTCTCACCTAAATGGTCCTATGTTTGGACAACCCATGAAAACAAAATGTGTAGGGAGACAAAGGGTATAGAGATTCTATTTGATGATGGTAGAATGAAAAAACTCAAACATCACTAAAATGACAAAAAAGGATTTTTTAAAAAGTAACAAACAAGAAAAATAAATATAAAATAAAAGAAGCAAAACTTTCAATGTTAAATCTGAATGAAAAAACATCAATAGAAACTCATGATTTTAAAAAGTGTATTACATAGCTCTGTCTGCTAGAAAGGTTACCCCAGTAGGAATGAGCAGTCATAGAGGTCAATCCACTAAAAGGAACCAGAGCCCAAAGGAGAAATAGTTGATTCCAGGCACGCAGCAGGGGAAACACTGAAGAGCCAGAAAGCATAGCTGTATCCAAAGATAAATGAGGGCGTGTCCAAAGGACACAGGAGCCAGGCTAATTAGAAAATTTGAGCATCCTTAAGAATACTAACTACAACTGAGTATAAAACATTGAATAAATAAAAGCCCAGAAGTTCTATGAAAAAAATTTAATTTAGACCATACACAAAATGTATACACAAAAATTAACTCAAACCATATATAAAAATTAACTCAAAATAGATCATAGGTTTAAATATAAGAATTAAAACTATAAAACTGATAAAACATGGGAAAAAATCTTGTGACTCTGGGTTAAGCATAAACTTCTTAAATATGACACCAAATAGGTCAATAAAAACTTTTTTGATAAGTTGGACTTCATTAAAGTTAAAAACTTTTACTCTTCCAAAGACACTGCTAAGAAAATGAAAAGATATGCTACAGACTGGGAGAAAATATTTGCAAATCATAACCTGGCAAAGAACTTGTACACAAAATATATAAAGAACTATTACAATCAATACGAGCTGGAACAATCCAATTTAAAGGATGGGTAAAAAGTTTTAATAGACATTTCACCAGAAAAGGTATACGAAGGCCAAATAAGGACATGAAAAGGTTCTCAACATCGCTGGTCATTAGAGAAACGCAAATTAAAACCACAAGGTAACAACTGTAAATCCATCTGAATTGCTACAGTGAAAAAAGACTGACAATGTCAAGGGTCAGCAAGGATGAAGGGAAACTGGAACCTTCAGAGACTGTTTTGGGGAAGGTGCAGCTACTTTTCTAAAACAGTTAGGCAGTTTCTTAAAAAGTCACATTTCTCATACTACCCAGCAATTCCATTCCTAGGTATCCATCCAAGAGAAATGAAAACTTACATCCACACAAAGACTTGTATGTAAATGTTCACGGCAGCATTATCCATAATAGTCAAAAACTGGAAACAAAACATCCAACCATTGGTGAATGGATAAACAAAATGAGGTACATACATACAATAGTACTGGTCAGGAATAAAAGGGAACACACTACTGAAACATGCTACGACATGAACCTCAAAAACAGGATGTTTAGTAAAAAAAGCCAGACACAAAAGACAACATATTATATGATTCCATTTATTTCAAATTTACAGAAGATGCAAATCTATAGAGACAGAAAGCAGATTAAAGCTTGGAACTAGAGATGTGATCAGAGATTGACTGTAAACAAAAAACTTCTTGAAGTGATAGAAATGTTCTAAAACTGTATTGTGGTAATAATTGCATAACATTATAAATTTACTGAAATTATTCTACACTTACATTCTATGATGCATCAATTATACCTTAATAACCCATGAATCTATAATTATATTCAAAAAAAAGGGAGCTGGGACAGAAACTCTGCTACCATTGTAGATGACTATTATGCCAACATCTTAGTCTGAAAATTGGTAATTAAAGCAAAAGAATCAAGCATTCACCTTGCTTTCTTAGCTGAAATTGTAGTTAATTCTTACTTGTAGGAGAATGCCAGTTAATAAGTATAGAAGAAATGACAAATTTAGGAAAACATTATTTTGCAAAACCCAATAAAATAACTGACTCAGTAAGAATAATTTCTGTATGCTAATACCACTAAGTAAAAGGATTGAGGGACCAGAATATTCAAATGGTGGTAAATTAACACCCTACAAATTACTTCTAATTGTAAAGGGAGAAACATATCCTTACAATGGAAAGATCTGATGACTACCTCCTCAGCCTGTGGGACAAACTTGGCATCATTAATAGTGAAATACAGCCATTTGTGACAACATGGATGGTCCTTGAGGGTATTTTGCTGAGTGAAATTAATCAGAGGGAGAAAGTTAAATACCGTATGATCTCACTTATACGTAGAAGATAAAAACAACGACAAACAAACACATAGCAATGGAGATTGGATTGGTGGTTACCATAGGGGAAGGGTGAGGGGAGGGCAAAAGGGGTGATTAGGCTCACATGTGAGGGGATGAACTATAATTAGTTTTTGGGTAGTGAACATGATGTAATCTACACAGAATTTGAAATATATTACAATGTACATCTGAAAGCTATGTAATGTTAGAATCCAATGTTACTGCAATTAAAAAAATACTAAAAAAAAATAGTGGAACAACCTGACATTAATATCTCTTGAGGTAATGTAATATGAAGTCTATAGCATCATTTATGAAGTATCCTTGTCAAAAATGTTTAACCTGAATCTAATTAAGCCTTTAGACCAAAATCAGCCCACAGAAATACAGATGTTAGAGGAATCACAACTCCTTGAGAAGGCAGTCAGACAAATCTAACACATGAGACATCTGAAAAGACAACTGGCCTGGTCCCCTCAAAATTCATATGATAAAAAAAAAAGTTGGGGGAAAGTTCTAGATTAGAAGAGATTAAACAGACTTGATAACCAAATCCATCATCTGAACCTTTATTGAATACTGCTTTGCAAATACTAGATATTAAAGATATTTTGAAGATAATTAAGAAAATTTTAATTGCTGTTATTTTTCTTCAGTGTGACAATGGTAATGTGGTATGAGAAAGAATATCACTAGTTTTAGGAGATTCATGCTAAAAGATTTAGAGATAAAACTGTCATGTTATATACCACCACTGTACATAGACATAGATATAGACACACACAATTAACTTACATTTTGCCAACATTTGAATATATATACACAAACACACAACTAGTGTATCTAGGTAGTGAGTACATGGATGTTCATGTACTATTACTTCAATTTTTCTATTGAAATATTTCAAAAAGGTTTGACAATTTTCTTAACATAAAGTTGAAAAAGAACAAGCAAACAAAGAGAGAGGAGAAAACAATCACAAAACTTCAGAAGCTGGGAAGAAGACGAAGAAGACGACTTACAAACGTAGAGAAAGCAGTATCCTATGTCAGTAGTGGAGAAAGCCAAGAAGGAATCCGACTCATATTATTGAGCTCTTAAAAAGCTAGGAATCGGTGGCACCAGATGCCTCTGGAGTTTGGAGCTATGTAAATGTTCAAGTCTGTCTAAGAAGTAGTTGAATCTTCTAGATACTAATCCCTACTCCACAAGACAGCCCAGCCAGGTCACCTAAAGTGAGCAAAAGAAGGGCAAAATACAGAAAAATCCTCATTTCCCTTAAGGAGAATCAAGGGTTATGCTGAAAGCCAAAGAAAAATTTTTCAAGTTGCAGCATAGACATGTTCTTTAGAGACGTGGCGGTAAAACCATGAAGATAAGTAAGAGTTGAAGGCGGTTGTCCCTGAAGAACAAGTAATAGGGGTGATGGGCAGGAGTGAACTACAGTTTCTCATATTTGGCTCTTTAAATAATATCTATATATAACTTTGATAAAAATTAAAATGAAGGAAAATATATAATAGTAATAACAAAAAGAGATGCAGTTCACTATATTATACAGTGTGTTTATCTACTCTGTGGATTATCTATGATAAATATTTAATCCTGGTCTATCATACAGAGGACTATTCTCACAAAAATTACTGAATATTTATTCTGATGAAATATAAGTTTTTTGAACATTTGTCAAAATAAAGCTGTTCAAACAGACAAAAGAAAGCTAAATATAACAAAAATTGTGACATTTGATTTTTCTAATTTTACACAGAAACCTGACTTATATTTATATAATTGTACTTTAGAATTCTTATTTAATATTTATAACAATCACAGAAAATAACCACTTAACATTTATTCGGCAACTATTATGTGCTAGAGATATAAGCACTGAAATACAGAAATTATCCTATATCAAAGACCTCACAGTCTAAAGTGGTAGAGAGTTTTTAAAAAAATTAAAATATGACAGGTGCTATGATAAATGAATTTCTTATCACATTTATCTAATTGGAGAACATCTTTTGGGGTGGTATAATATATTGGACAAAAGCCCAAGGTCTGGAGTTAGATGGTCAAGGTTTAAATCTCATCTCTACCACTGACTTTGTGGTAGGCTTGGGTAAGTTACTTAACTTTGCTATGCCTCAGATTACTCCTTATTCTGACAGCATCCATGAAACATTAACAGGCTAACTTATTAGCTTGTAAATGGGGTAAAATCAAATCCTAGAGCTGACAAAAATGGTAGCTCTAAATCCAACTTTACTAACAATTACATTAAATGTAAATGGACTAAATGCTCCCAATAGAAGGCAGAGAGTATCAGGATGGATAAAAAAAAGCAAGACCCAATTATATGCTAACCATAAGAGACTCACTTTAAATATAAAGAACAAGTATGTTGAAATAAAAAGAAGGAAAATGATAAACATGTAGTAAGCATAAGAAGACTGTATTGTCTACATTAATATCAGACAAAACTACAAGATTATTAGATTTAAGGGGTGTTTTTTAAAGATAAAAGAATCAATTCATTAGGAAAAAATACCAATCATAAATGTGTGTGTACCTAACAACTGAGCTTCAAAATATATGAATTGAAAACTGATAGAAATGAAAGGAGAAAAAAATCTATATTTATAACTGAAGATTTCAACATTCCTCCCTCAGAAATTATAAACCAACTAGAAAATCAGTAAAGAACACTTGAACAACACCTAGCCAACCTGACTTTATTGATATTTATAGAACACTATACCCAAGAAGTGTAGAATAAACATCTTCCAAGTGTAAAGAGATTAGAAAAATGCAAATTATACTACAATGAGATACCACTCTACACACATTAAAATAGCTAAAAATAAAAAGACTGACAATATCAAGTGTTAGTGAGTATGTGAAGCAAGTGAACTCTCATAGATTGCTAGCTGGAGTAGAACGGTACAACCACTCTGGAAAATGGTTTGGCAGTTTCTTCTAAAGCTAAACCTATATGTAGCATATCACCCAGAAATTCCACTCATAGGTATTTACCCAAGAAAAATGAAAATGTATGCCAAAAAAACGGTTATACATAAATATTCCTTAAAGTTTTACTTGTAATAACCAAATACTGGAAAACCCAAAAATCCATTCTCAAATGAATGGTTAACAAAATGTAGTATATTCATAAAATGCAATACAATTCAGCATTAAAAAAGGACCATCATTGATACATTCAATAACATGGATGAATCTCAAAAACATTATGATGAGAAAAAGATGCCAGACAAAACAGTTCAGATGACAGGAGGCAACACAAGATAAAGATGTTGGAAAGTGTGGTTTCTTCTGAGGCCTCCCTCCTTGGCTTACAGATGGCTGCATTCTTGCTCTGTTCTCATGTGTCCTTTGCTTAGTGCTTTCAAATTCCTGGTGTCTCTATCTCTTCTTCTAAGGACACCAATCAGATTGGAATAGGGCTCCACATTAATGGCCTCATTTTAAATTAATTACCTCCTTAAGGATCTTATCTCCAAATACAGTTACATTCTGAAGTCCTTGGAGTTGGGACCTGAACATAAAAATTTGGAGGGGACACAATATAGCTCATAATAAGCCTCCTAATTGGTCTTTCTTCATTCAATCTGGCTCTCCTGTGTCAGCATACACAGCAGCTGGGTTTCTTATAAAACGCAATCTGATCATTTTTATCATATTAGTAATCTGCTGAAACATATCAGTGGCACTCTACTGCTCTAAGGATAAAGACCAAAATCCTCTAGGTGGCTTTCAATACTCTTTATGAACTGTCCCTTGCTTACCACACTGGCGTTGTCTCCCAGTTACTTCCCTCTTACACTCTAGGCTGGACCATCAGATGCAGAAAGCATTGGAACTGCTTTCATTTATTGAAAAATGTTGCCATCTTTGTTGTCTGAAGGCCTCTGAAAATACTGTTTGTTTCCTCTTGGATTACTCTCCTAACCTTCAAGTTTTACTCATTCTTCAAAATTCTCACTCAGCTTATAGATCATCTTCTTTGGGAAGCTCCCCGATGACTCTCCTCACTCTGCAGCAGAATTAGGCTTCTCACGTGCTCCCACAGCATCCTTTGTTCCATATCACGGCGCTCACATGACTTTATAAATGCCTGTCTCTAGATTCTCCACTGAAATCTTAAGATGCGTTAGGCATAAACCAGTTCATTTCTTTTGGGTACTTGTAGTCCTAGAACAGTGGTTCTCAATACGTATATGTATTTTTTCCACTCTACATTCACACAGACTCCTATAATTAAAATCATTCATGAAAACCACTGTCTTAGTCTAGAGGCACTGTATACGTAAAAAGTTGTGCCTGAGATTTTGGACAAGTCATATCGTTCTTTAACAAGCATTGTTTGGAGAGGTAATGGAGGAAATAAAATAAGGAACTGTGGAAAATCTGGTGCAGGTTTTTCCTTTTAGAAAGTAAGCTAATTATTATAAACTGTCTATTTCAATAATTGTGAAATGAAATTAAACCATGCTAAAAAATATTTAGAGCATTAAAGAATTACAGTACAAAGGGATAAATAACAATTGATGTAAGCAGAATATTAATGCAAATCATTCCCATTATTCCCATTACCTGTTAAGTTCATCTAGACATAATCGCAGTGTTTCATAAGTTGTTAGAGCAATTTCACATTTCCTCTGCTTTACACGAATCAGTTCATTGTCTTTTTTGTTACCATGTAAAATAGTGACTCTGAAATATCCCCAGGTGTCCAATTCATCCTTCCAGTTGTAGAGGACAGAAAGAGGAGCAACTATTAAGAACATCTAAAAGAAGAATAAAGAAATTTATGAAATATATTTTTAAAAGTGAAAAAGAACCCCAAAGTGAAATCTAGAATATCAATAGTCCTATTCTTTAATTCTTGACACTGTAGTTACTAAGAATAAATACAACTGAGCAATTGGATATATCTAGACATAGACTATCAAAAAATACTTTGTTATTTACTTAGCTTTTTATTAGGACAAAATAGATATCTAACCACGTCCAAAGGAACAGCTATTTTGATTTCCCCCCAAAAAAGGAGTTGAGATAAGAGAGAAGTAATTCTCCAAAACAGAGAAAAGAGTATAATCAGGAACCCAATAATAAGTTCAAAGGCCAAGGGCACTACAAATATGCAAAGCAGGCCAGGTTTTTTCTTGGACTATTTGGTCTCCTGGAACTCTCTTTCCTTTTCATTTCCCTAGTCTACTTCCTCTCCTCTCTCTCAGATACTGTCAATAGAAGACTCGCAAAATTCACTGGAAAATAGAAGCAATTAGAATAAAACCTCCACCTCTCTTATCATTAGATAAATAACCTACCTACATTTATTTCCATATATTCTGCCCTCCCACAGGTTACCATGGATGAGCTGTCCAAGTTCTTATCTAAAGACAAATCCTGAACTTAGACAGTGGCTCCCATCGCTTCTTGCCAACAAAGTCAATGCTGGAGAAATTGTCCCAATCTCTCCATTGTGATTAACTTTCCCTTTTTAATGGATAACATACATCCATAAGCAAACATGTTCTAATATTTCCTAGGGTTAAAAACCAAAACAATACCAAAAAACCTCTTCCTTAACCCTACATCTCTCTCTAGCTATCTCCCATTACTTTACTTGCTTTTTAGCAACGATCCTCAGGAGTCATCAAGGCTTATTGTCTCTACTTACTCTCCTCCTGTTCTCTCTTGAACTCATGTAAATGAGATTTCTGCCCCAACAGCTCCAATCAAAGCAGTCCTTGTCAAGATTACCCACATATCTCTGTCTAGTCTTCACATGAATGTTTCAGGGTTCCACTGACCTTTCCCGTACTAACCCTGGATGCTGCGGTCTTCAACCATTTTATTTTTTTAATGTTTTTATTTCTCATTCTTATCCCTACTCCTAAGCTATTATATTTAATAGGGTTATAAGTAAGTTTCTTGTCTAAAGTTTTATACCTGTCCTACTTGGTAAAGATGAATCAATTAAACATATTGAAAAATTTCAGCTTAACAAAAAAAATAAAATAATACAATGCTACTCTAAATCCTGCCCTCTCTTCTGTGAAACATTTCAGCTAGGCTATTTGTTAGCTGTGAGAAGTCAAATCTGTGACTGCGTTTTGGAAAGAGAAAGAGGAAAAAGAAGAGAAGATCAACCTACTGAACGTAAGCGTTCCTTTATCCCACCTCATCATCAAGCATATATAAGTACTTTCTCATCATACTTGATTCATCTCAAATACTTTTGTCTTTTGGCTCAGACTTTATCCTATGAATTTCATTTCTCCTATCTTCAAATGTAAAATTTGAGCACCAAGTACTAAGTCAAATTATAGTCTCCCTACTCCCTTTTTTTTTTTTTTTGTATATTACAAAATAAAAATGTTGTGTCCAAACTCCATCTGAGCACTTTGAGCAGTTTTCCACTTCAGGGTCATTCATCAAAGGTGCCAATAAATCTAAAGATTCCTAGAATCAGCTCTAAGATTCCAGAAGACGTTTAAACATTAAGATATTTCTTACAGACGTTATTGGTCTTCAAAATTGTGAAAGGGTAAATCAAACGGTTCATTAACTCATTTTAATACTAAAAGAGGTCAGAGAACTGGCTTATGCAATTCGTAAAGTCCAGAGAAATTGAATAAGAAGAACTTGAAGTGTTTACTACCACAGTGTGAATAATATTTCAGGTAATAAGCCTTACTTAAGCAAAGGATGCCAAAACAATAAAATGGAAAGCAGCGGTAAGCAGTGGTATGAACTGTGACAGGATACCCAGAGATGTTTTTCATGTGTAATGATTTTTGTGGTGGAAGTATAGCATTAACAATAATTATCATAACCTATATTGAGCACTTACTGTGTGCCAAAGACAGTAAAAGTAGTTTACAGATACTAACTCAAGAACTTTACACAGAAATGCTATACACCAGGATTACCTACTATTTCCTTTCTACAGATGAGAAAATGAAGGTGTAGAGATGTTAAAAAACATGCTCAAGGTCATAATGCTATTAAGTGGCAAAGTAAGTATTTGAACCCAACCACCATATGTCATGTTAGCATCTTAAATCAGAAAGTACATGACCTTGAGACACATAACCACGGTAACTCTGGTACTTTGTACAGTGCCTAGAAAACAAAGCTGTTCAATTGATAAATGAAGCAATAAATGAAACTATGAACGGCAATGTCAAGGTAGGAATAGCACTGTTTATTCAGAGGATAATGACAGACCAACAGATCAGAAGCAAAGGTTTCACACGAGAGGAAGTGAGATATCAAAGTGAAAAGTAAAATGTACCTTTATAGAGAGAAATTACAGATCATAAAATTGGAATTTTTGCTATATAACCCAAAGTTCTAAAGAATATTCTCTGTAATTACCTCTACAATCTTAATTCTTTCAAATATGCCAAATCTAATTAATTTACACCCTATTGTGCAAAGTTGATATTTGTTCCTTTGGTACGCTATGACTATTTAATGTATCGGAATTTAAGTTTAGAAGCCACTCTAGTCTGGAACCCTTCCAATTTCCTCTTCAGAAAAGCAGCATGATAATACTACCAAAACATGACAAACATTCTATCAAAAGAGAAAATAACAGACCAATATGACTTAGATCAATGCACACTAAATCAATAAATAACAAATCATGAAATTAAACATGAAAAGTAAATAAGATGAGAATGGAAATGACAAGGAAAGGTATAACTATCTACAGAAAACATAAATAAATCAACTAAATGAACAGTACATCAACTATTAAGAATAAGAAAAGAATTAAGAAAGTAGAATTTATAAAATATATGGGACAATATAATGACTCCTTAGAAAAGACAGACTTAATAGATATATACAGAACACTCCATCGCAGAGCAGCAAAATATACACTCCTCTCAAGTGCACATGGAACATTCTCCAGCATAGATTATATGTTAGGCCACAAAACAAGTCATAATAAATGCAAGAAGACTGAAATCATATCAAGCATCCTTTCTAACCCAATAGTATGAAACTAGAAATTAATTACGAGAAGAAAACTGGAAAATTCATAAATACATGGGGATTAAACAACATGCTACTGAATAACCAATAAGCTAAGGAGAAATAAAAGAAGAAATTTAAAAAAAAAAATCCCTTGAGACAAATGTAAATGGAAACATAACATACCAAAACTTACGGGATATAGCAAAAGCAGTTCTAAGAGGGAAGTTCATAGAAATAAATTCCTACCTCACAAAACAGGAAAAAAACCTCAAGTAAACAACATAACTTTACACCTCAAGGAACCAAAAAAAAAAAAAAAAAAAAAAAACAAAGCTCAGTTAGAAGAAATAACAAAGATCAGAGTGGAAATAAATGAAATAGAGACTAAAAAGATAAAAGAAAAGATCAATGAAACTAAGAGCTGATTCTTTGAAAACATAAACAAAATTGACAAAACTTTAGCTAGACTCACCAAGAAAAAAGAGAGAGGGCTTAAATAAATAAAATAAGAAATGAAAGAGGAGGTATTATAACTGATACCACAGATATACAAGGAATCACTAAGAGACTGCTATGAACAATCATACACCAAATAAATTGGACAATCTAAAAGAAATGGATACATCCCTAGAAACACAGAACCTTCCCAGACTGAATCATGAAGAAATAGAAAATCTGAATAGACTGATTCCTAGGAAGGAGATTGACTGAGCAATCAAAAACATCCCAATAAACTAAAGCCCACTGGTAAATTCTACTAAATATTCCAAGAAGAATTAACACTAAGCCTTGTCAAATTCTCCCAAAAAAAGTAGAAAAGGAAAGAATGCTTCCAAACTCATTTTAAGAGGCCAGTATTACCTTGATATCAAAACAAGACAAGGGTAGTACAAGAAAAAATTACAGACCAATATCCCTGATGAATATATAAGCAAAAATCCTCAACAAGGGGCCAGCTCAGTGGCATAGTGGTTAAGTTTGTGGGATCTGCTTCAACGGCCTAGGGTTCACAGGTTCAGATCCCAGGCACGGACCTAGCACCACTAATCAAGGCACATTTTGGCGGTATCCCACACAAAATAGAGGAAGACTGGCATGGATGTTAGCTCAGGGCCAATCTTCATCTCACACACACACACACACAAATGCTCAACAAAATATTAGCAAACCAAATTTGTTAACACATTAAAAGGATCGTACTACACCATGATCAAGTGGGATTTATTCCAGGATGCAATGATGGTTCAATACCTGCAAATCAAACATGTAACATACCATATTAATAAAATCAAGAATAAAAATCAGGAGAGGGTGTCAAGATGGCAGCGTAGGTGGACTCTGAACTCACCTCCTCCCACAAACACAACCAAGTTACAACTATTTTTGGAAAAATTACCCCTGAGAGAGAACTGAAAACTGGATAAAAAGAACCCCCACAACAAGGGTCAGTCCTGACTGAGGTTGAAGAAGCAATTTCTGTCTGGAGAGAAAAAAGCCACCTTCGTGAGCCATGGAGCTTCATGGTTGGCCAACCAGGAGCAATCCTAAGATACACAGCCTTCCCTGGAGGAGTGGGGGACCTGACCAGGGGAATGTTGTCACTATAAGCATCCTTCGGACTCAGCACAACTGAGATGGGTGTCATAATATCTGGCTTTGCTGGCTATTAACTACAACAGGGAATATCCCTAGACAAGCTATCAGACATAAGTTGAAAAAGCCAGCTCTTAATGGGCTCACACAGAAATTCACCCACTTCAGAAAACAACCTCAAATCACCAGGAAGAAAGGGTCA